ATTGTTCATTACATGTGAACTTAGGGCTTTCTCCCTTTCAATCCTTTCAAGCTGTCTTTTTATAAATACAAATATTGAGACACTCTTGATTAGAGAGATGATGAGACAGAGAATAACTAAATAAATTACTAAGTCAACACTTACACAACTGATGGAAACCTAACAGAGGCCAAATTTTCACAGATTTTCATTGAAGTCTACTCAGGATGAACTTATGTAGATCTCTTCATTGGTAAGAGGTCACATGAGTCAACCGAAAATACACACATCCAGCTTTGCAGATGACACCCATTGCAAGATTTTTTTTTTAATTTTTACATGGACAGCAGCATCTATCCTTTCAAACTTATTCTCAAAGAAAGCTTGGAAAAAGAACACTTAATGGCATAATATGAGTGGAAAAAGAGAAAAGAAAAGGAGAGTTGTTATGTTTTTCATTTCTTATCCGCCTCCATAGTTTTAAGCCAATCTGTCAATTTATGAATTCTTATTGTTTGGATTTGGCACTATTGCACCATAAACTCTGTTATGAATGACTGCATGTTCTTTTTTTTGGACCGTAAACTTCCTTGGTCTGGAACTATTGTTTACTATACTTTTGTACCGTATCTTGCCCAATCTTTGGATCAGAGGTCTGTGGGTGACTGCACTCATTGAGTAATAAAGGAAGGGCAACTACTTATCATGCTTTCCCTGGCAAACCCAGTCCTAACAGGTTGTCCATAAACTGTGGTCTGGGAATCGTTGTAGTAAGCTCACTTGTTTATTTAACATATTTCACACTTGTAGCCTAAGAATTATCTTCTCTTGACTATGCCAACATGATTTCAGGACACACTGGAGAATATTTATGTAACCTTTCAATTTCTAAACTTTTTTATTTTTAGTATTAGTTTGCTTATCTGTATTTATAGTTTCAAAAGACACTAATGCGAGAAGCTCTCTTTGAAATCCTTGCTTATTTTTGGTAATTCTTGTAGGCTTATTTGGGCAGATTACTTCTTTTTAGTAAATCACTCTTTTTTGAGAAGATACAATCCAGATTGCCTCTACTCTGAGGGCTTATAACTTAAAAACCTCCTACCATTACATATACTCCCATGTGTCTTGAAATACTAGTAGAATATATAATACGTTCACCCACAGTCAGTACATGACTGAGAAAAGAAAAAGTAGCAGGAAAGCACTAGCGAATTATTACATCGGCTGGCAGATCCAGGACCTCAGCCCTCAGAAGATGAGAAGACAACTGTTAGCTAGCAGTTAATTCCCAGAAGGAGATGACTGGGTGCCGATTTATAGGTAAATACAGGATTCAGTTATTAAAAAAACATAGGATGAATTTTCCAAAATGCACTACTGATCTTTTCAGTTTCTAATGAGTTTAAGGAACAGGTTTAAAGGTAGTTTAAGGATGCTTGATTTAACGAGTACAAGCACTTAGTCTCTCTGACAGTATTTGTTGAGTCCCAACAACTTTTGAATAACTTTTGCCTTTGGCTTAATATTAATCTCAAGATAGAGGCAGTACAGAAATCAAATAGTGAAACAAACAAATTACAGAAAGTGAATAAACAGTTAAAGCAAGTCTATTTTTTTTTTATACCCATCCTGGATTTAAAACTTGAGATTGAATTTTTCCTTTGATTTTATTATTTAGTGGTTTAAAATGTAAAGAAATTCTGTTGACTTAGATGGCTTATTCCATTCAAAAGAAAACTTAATTATAAAATAGAAAATTTCATAATCTGAAAATCATACAAAAATGAAAAATACAACCCTAAAAATATAACTCAGTTTGAAGATCAAAAGTTTAAAGTATAGTGCAAAGAAAGATGTCCCCCAATACCGTTGTATTTGAATTTTAAAACTATTGAAATATTTTTAAATTTTAATCTTTTATCAGGCTTTCAATATAAATACTGAGCCACTAAATAAAACTTGAGTTCATATAATTTACAGTAGCAAAACTTTGTAGATATTGTTAATTTCTGGTCAAAGTTACTGTTAAGTGGTTTTGTTAAAGACTACATTCCCTAAAAATTAAAAGAACATCACATAGTCTGTTACGTAAACAGGTAACATGTCACTTAGTCTTCTTATTAGTTATGGGGTAGGCTAAAATGGTTTTAGAGGATACCAATTTGGGTCCAAAAAGCTCTCATTCTCTCTCTCAATCAAACACGTCTGGTTTGAAAGAATAGTGCCAAAGACATTGCTGTATTTATAATTCAGCAATTATACTAAACGTGAAGTTCACTCCAATTTTATTAGCAGTTGCTACTGTAATGGTAGAAACTATTCAATCAGCGTTTGGCTAAGAACAAATTTACTTTAACAAACGTGAGCTAATCTTGGTTAAACATAAAAATGCCACTGATGGCATTTAATTGTGTAGGATAACAAAGAAGTAGTCAGCTTTTTAAAGTTCTGTTTATGTCTTGGGTTGAATCCTGAGGTGAATTGGAGAGGATTTCAGGGTTATTACTTGAAATAATCCCAACCAACAAACTAACGTACTTCTCAAAAACACAAGCTTAACTGATGTTTTTCCATTTCTGATATTGCAGTTATAATGCAATTTGTTATAATGTAATTTGTTAAAGTAGTGCAGAAACTGAGGCCTGGTGTTACTCATCAAAAGTAGTTTCATTTTATACTGGCAGAAATGAAACTCTTCAGACTCTTCTTCTTGGAGTATGCTATTTTGAATATATGCTATTTTTGGACACTGCAGAAAAATGCAAATTCATAATGTTCTAATTTGACCAGAAATACGAACCTCAACGGATTAAACCACATGATCATGCTACCAGCTTCTAAGATGCCAAATAGAAGAAAACACAGAGGTCTCTGTTTCTTGTGAAGAATGATGAACAAAGAGAACTTTTGATGTTTATTCTTCTGCACCCTAAAGAAAGAGGACTGTCCAAAATGGTGCCATTGTGGAATGATGCAACTAAGACAGAGGATTCAACCTTATAGTGACCTTTTCATCTTCCTTCAGCCCTGTATCAAATTCTTCCTACTGGTCTGCATTTAAGAGATTTAGAAAACTCTTCTTTAATGGTGTTTAAAGCTCTTATTGCCAGATAAAGAACAAAGACTATTCATACGATTAAATATTTACGATGCATTCCTAGCAATGCCCCTCATATATAGGCCCCTCAAATCAATTGCCTACTCCAAAGCTACATTGCTTGAGAGCTTAATGCATAACACTGCGCTCAGGAAATACAAATTCTTAATTTGTGAGTAAATAGTGAAGCTATCCCTCTTCCTGTGCTTATATAGGCTTTTAATATATTTCCAAGACAAAAATGTGTTTAGAAAGAATATGAATTTTCAACTGGCCTATTGATACACAGATTTTATTAAGCACAAGGATTATTAAGCCAAATGCATGCGTAGACGAACTTTTATTTCAGAATGTGCTCCTTTTAAAAGAAAACATTTCCTTCTTTATTAATTGTTTTCCAGCGTTTTTTTTTAAAGGAAGGGGGGAATAAGTAACAAGGCAATGCTATTTCTTAAGGAGCCAGAAGAGGGACCCCCTTAATAGGGCAATCAATTTCCTACCCGAGTCCCTACGCTGTCGTTCCTGAAGTTTCTACTATACACGAGGTAGAAGTGAGATGAAATGCGAACATCGCCAGAATGAGCCTTTCTTTCGCTGTGTTTCGCTGGCTGACAAAAGATAATTAACAAAACTGTAATTTCCTATCATGCTTTCTTTTTCTGAGAACAAAGGAGACTAATAGCTAAGTTCCCATCGTCTGCCTTCCCTACTCCTAAATTAATACAAAATGACCCCTCAAAGCTTCGGCTTGAGTTTAAAGCGCCTTTCTGATACAATGCTGTGCAGCGTCAATCTTACTAGAAACGCATCACACAAACATCTGTGACTCATCTATGCGTGAAGATAAAAGGAGGGGTGGTCTAATGCAGGCTGAGAAGAGCCAAGAAAGAAAAGGGCACTATATCCAGAATTTCTTTATAAGTAATTTTATGAGACAATGTCAGAACTGGCACATATAACAGCCTCGGTTTATAGCACACAAAATGAATCTTCCAACTATTTTTCTGTACTGTTCTTTCTGAGAGCAGCTAACCCAGTAAAATTGGACGTGCTCCATGTTTTACCACTCGGCTTATTTTCTTCGAACATATGTGTTTACTTCTCAAACTGAAACAGTAATCTTGCCATTGTCTTTTGTAATCTGTATTTGTAATAATGCAACATTGCTGACATTGCTAACAAACCGCAGAGTTTACTGAGCAAAGGGGACTACTCTGACAACACTGCTTTGATAACACAGACCTTAGCAAGCACAGTTCTCATTAGTTCTACGGGAGCAGGTCTAAAGGGACTAATCTTTCTCTCCGCATGGGTATTTTGAAAATCGTTTCCCGGTTGCGTACCAAAGGACTTAAGCAAATACATAAAACTAAGCTTAAGTTAATTACTGATTATTTAAGTAAATGTTAACAGATTTTGCTGACTAGCAATGGTCTTAGAGCAGGGGCTTGAAATCAAATCTGTGCTCAGCAGATCGAACTCTAAGAAGTGACTCGATATTGAAATCTTTACTCAAGCTTAATTTCATAAAAGAAAACCCCAATTCCACTGAAGTCAATGGAAAAAATTCCTGTGACTTAAAAAGGATGAGGGTTTCTGACACTGGTCTCAGTAGTTTTTCCTGAACAGGGAGATGCAATGGATACAAAAGTTTTTATGGAAAGGCTAACAAGAAGGAAAACAGACATTTTTGCCTGTGGAATTTGTTGAGATGCAAGATTTTTGACATTGCTGAAAACAGTTCTCTTCCTGCTAATAACAGAAGCACAAATATTAACTCCCCACCTCCCAGCTGGGAGAAATAAACTCATGCCAACCACTTTCTAATATCCCACCTCAAATATGGAGCTATTTTAGGACTCAGGCTTTGAAGGAAGTCCTTTGTTCACTTAGAAAAAAAATAAAATACTTTTCTCTTTACCTGCACTGGTGCCTGCACCGGTTGTGAGGTCCCCACCCATCAGGCCACCTGGGGGGTTGAAATGCAATACTACAAATCAGCACGATAAATTGTAACAGGCAAACATTCAAAACATTTTCTCTAACTTCAAAGGGTCTGCTCCAGTACCCACCACTGCTTTCCTCTGACTTCAACAGGCATCAGATCAGACACATAGTCATAAAATTGTAATGTTTCATGTTACCCGTACGAGACGTTTGCCTTTCAAGGACAAACAAAATATGTAGTACACAACATTTCATTATTTTGTCTTCATACTTCCACAGCTTATGAAAAATCAATTATATTTGAAAGTTATAGTAGTTCTTAATTTGAAAATTATCTTTAGTTCAGTATTAGTCAGAAAAGCAAAGGCTTCCACATAGCACTGGGAGGAGGAGACTGAAAGCTCCTGGACGAGAACTTAACTCAGAAGCTATAATATATATTTACATAGCTTTTCATTTTAATTTACTCAGCCTTTCATAGACATTCACTCTAAGGATTTTTAAAACTTCTCTTTGCACTTGGGGACCTCAAATGGTCGTTTGAACCCAGCGCACTTAAGGATCTTGATGTTGCTTCAGCCAGACAGATTGAATGAACTTAATCCCCATTTATCCTATTCAGAGGTGAGCCCTCATCATCACCAGAGCAAAGCACAGCCTCTTGCTATAGAAGGCACTCAAGTGCAGAGCTCAACTAACATTTACCCATCAAGGAACTTGTGAATGCATAAATAATAATAAATTCTGCATTTAGCCTCTAGACTGATGATTTAAGTAACGAGTGTCCTATTTCACTTGCTTCAACTTGTTTGCGTTGGCTACATTCTCCCCCCTGCCCCCTTAAGCTTTACGGTATAGTGAGTTCTTGCATGAATTCAGTAGACAAGCTGCCTTTTTATGATACAGCAAATTGTCTGGCCTTTTATCCTTTATTGATTTACTTTAATCTTAGTCAATATTCAGCTTTGTCTAGAACTTTTTTTTTTTTTAGATTTTCTAAATTGGGAATAGAAACACCTTCGGCTCTTCTTTTGATTTTTTGACACAGAAATTTGGACAAATTGTTACCACTGGTGAAAACAGAGTTCTTGTTTCTCAGGGTACAGTTTAAAGTCACCTAAGGCACACAAGCAGCTGATAAAAGAGCACTTAAAGGGATGGGATTGCACAGAGCCTACCTGTGTTACCTGCACTCGGAGGCCGATGTGTCACGCCGGGAGACATGCTATTTCTTTGCAAAGAAGGATGAGCCAGCGGCAAAAGATTGGGATTTCCCAGAGAGCTGACTGGGTTACTGTATACCAAACTGTTGTGGTTGGACACTGGGATAGAAACTGGCATCTCAAAGTTTGGTGGTGGAACAGCCTGTACAAGCAAAAAAGGGAAACAAAGACGAGAATAGTACAGAAGCACAACAGCCTTCAAGTACAGTTACTCTATATTTAGTTCAAATATTTTGTTGTTGGTGGTTAAAATATTTACATTTGCCCCCCTCCCCTGAGAGTCAACAGTAGAGTTTCGAAAGAGTTAACTAGGCTTTTAAATATGATTTTTCAAATCATGATGCCATCTTCCTTTAATGCAGCTTGCACATTTACTTTGTAAGAACTGGAAAGATTTTTTTCTTCTTTTTTTTTTTTTCTTTATAAAACAAAACCCTGCTTTATGAACCTTAATTTTCTTTTTCTTTCATTCTGTGAAGTCGTAATTGTTCACTTGTAATATCTTAATCTAGTGTCACAGATGACTGTAAGATCAAAGGTACATGATTATGATGACTTCATTGCATGGAGAGAAATTAGAAGGGGTGGAATGAAAAAGGGAAAGCTTTAATTTCAGCTTATGTTGCTTTAGCAACCAGAACGATCCCAAATCACGTTAAAGGCACCAACACTGTAAACTGTTTTTGTAAAAGTTTCTATCTCAGCTTGGAAGTTCTTAAAAGAAACAAAGTTCTACTCAGGGATAGGGAGCAAATACAAGAACTTTAGATATACGTTAGTCTTTGGGTTCTTTGTGGTTGTTTTGATTTTTTTTTTTTTGGTGGAGTGGTGATACCTTTTGAATATACTGTTTTCATACTTCAAGGTAGGATCCTCTCCTGAGCCACTTTCCTTCACAAGAATCCCTTTCAAATAAAACCCAAACTACAGACCACTCTGAAAGAGGGTGAGAGGGGATGCAGCATCTGATTCTCATTTTGCTCTTAGAAAGCCCAACTCGAGTTTTCTTGGTTGGCTGGTGAGTTTGATGGTTGAGGTTTTCTTGGGTGGAAGTTGCCTGAACTTCTTTAAAATTTATGGCTCTGGTGACATACAAATACACTAGAACTCCATATTTAATTTACTTGGTTTTAAAATAATAAATCTTTTTGCCTTTGTGAAGGGAAAGACAACTTTTTCAGAATTACCTGACAGCATTTTAAATATTAAAATAGCTGAATGCAAATGAAGTACCCCTTAATTTGCCATTTAAAAATTCTATAAGCTTCAAGAGTCTAAATCCATCAAAAATCTCTTTAAAACAGCCTTGTAACATTTCCAGGAGAAAATCATAGACTTTAATTTTGTTGTTGGCAGCTGATAGTACTGGTAAGGCTTTGAGGACCTAGAGGGAGTATGTTGAGAGCTGGACACGTAATCTGCTGTATCAGGCAACAGAGGCATCCTGACCTTGTGCCACCCACAAGTCTCTTCTCTGGCTGGCCAGAGCTGTTGGCTGTGCCCTGTGCATTACAGCACTGGCCATCAAATTACGGTTATCCCTTAAGGTTTTTTTTTTTTGTCCTCTGCTGTTTCTAGGGGCAGACATAATTTTGCTCTAAATATAGAGGAATCATTTTACTTAACTACTGAAACACACAGCAAGATTTTAGTTCAGGGTATGACACGAAGGATACATCACACAAATGCCTTGGGACTTATTTCAAGGTGTTAATTTAGCTCTGAAACCCTCTGTGTAGCCTGTGGCCCGGTTTTGTGAGAGATGGCCATAGCATAACAGCTGAGATCAGGTAGGGTGCTCGAGCGGATGGACCTGCTGGCATTGCTTGCTGGCTGTGGGGGCTGCACGCTGGGACTCGCTTCCTCCTTTTGCCGAGAAGCTGAAGTGCCCCTCAAGGACCATATTTTCCATAGAGATGATTGGTTTAAGTAGAGGCGGGAAAGAGAGGAGAGGTGCCTTGGGAATCTGCGTGTTCAGTGTATAACAAGCAGGACTACAGGTACTGCTAGGTCTGTGTAGGGATCCTGAAACATAATAATGTTTGCGTCTCACAAATAGAAAAAAGACAATAAATGATTATGTGATGAAACATACAATTGCTGAAGCGTGTTTTTTATTTCTTTCAGGAGCAACCAGTTTTTGCCTGCAGATGTTCTTACAGTTGAAGTCCAACTCACTAGCTGCATGCGTGACTTGTCTTCCAAAGGAAAATTTACACAGTACGTAGCACAAGGAGTACCAGTGTATATCACGACTGAAGTCCAGGCTCCCTGGAAATAGGTTCACATAGCATAATCTGAAACATTTTATGAGCCTGAAGCTATGTTTTGAAGCAAGGCACTTTCTTTGCTGGCCACAGAAGGACTTAAGAGGTTCTCAGATCCTATGTAAGTCCAAAATGTAAGGCTGCTGCTGGAGCTCAAAGTCAGCTGCTGCTGCTGGTCTTGCCTTTTCAGAAGGTTCTAGCTAGTGAATTCACATGAGGATTGATTTCTTAGCTTCTGATGTGAGACATGAATAAGTCAACATAGAGACTCTTTGTTATTGCAATGTTCAGGGCTGTGGTGGAGATTTCTCTGCCTGGTGGCTTAGAGAACATGTTCCTGCCTCCTCCATGTCAGATTGAGTGTCACCCGCTGGGAAGAACTTTGCACAATGTCTTCTTCACTTCTGTCATGAGATGCGTGAAATCTGCCCTCTAAGCCTGAGAGACACCAATATTGCCTCTATATTCTTATATAGAATCTCTATATATCTCTTTTAGTTATCTAAACTAAAACATGGGTACAAATGCAAATCTGAAGGTCTTGCCAATACTCAGAGGGCTTGTCTGCTTTCATCATTATACTCTGTCTTTCTTCCATGTGAAAACCAAACCCGTTAAGGGCTGGAATCTTCTTTTTCTACATTAGTACAGCACAAAAGAGCTCCAGTCTTGGTTGCTCTTGTGGCTGTCAGTCTCACTAGTCATCACTGAAACAGACAAACATTGCTGAAACAGTGACGTGACTTTCATTTTGTTATTTTAAAAATATTGTTTTAAACTAGCTAAAGCTAAATTATTTTCTTAATTTCTGTAGTAATGGTTTCATTTTCACCATTTAACCTACTGTCTGGATATACTTACATCTATTTACAGAGTATTTCATAGGCAATTTTATCAGGGCAAAGTCAGTTTACTCTGCTTTGCAGCACGATACACACTGTATATGGAATACAGTAGGTTTTATTTATTCTCAGTAGTCAAAAGTTAGAGCTAGAAGTTTGTCCAGATAAGCACCAGTATTACACAGTAAGTCTCTAGCTACAGTTTTGCTCTGGTTGCTCAAATTCTGTTAGTCTTATATTTCCTTCACCAAGAACTGCAACCTCCTGCAGATTCCCTAGTCATTCTTGGTGGTACGTCATGGGGCATATCTATTCCAGCTAGGCCTGATGGACTTTAAAGCTTGTGATGCACTTGCGTAATATCTGTATTAGTAAATTTAACTTGCCTAGAAACTGAGGCCACCCGAGGCCACAGGGTAGTCCATGTCCATACTATTAAGCTTTGTCAACCTCAAAAAAACTAGGACTACATAAACTTGAAAAATTGGGAATTGCTCCTGGCCTGGCCTAACAACCAAACAGAGCTAGAAAATTGTGTGGAAGCGCATTATTTGGCCAGTGCCCAAAACATGCCAGGGAGCATTCAAACAATGCAGGGCAGAGATAAGCACCTCAGTACGTTCTTTGTCATTTCCCAGGTCACTCACATAGATGAAGCCTTATGTGTACGCAGCTCGCCACATTTTGCTTTTTTTTTTTTCCCCTCCGTCTTTTCTCCTTCGGACACAATTGCCAAAGAAGGCGATGGCTCACCTGAGAGGACACCACCAGTGTACAGCATGCGCTGCGTTAGATGTGCGCTTCGCGAGCTGTGCTATGTTGTGCAAAGCAAGTGCTGGGGACTCAAAACCCTCGCAAATTAAAGGACCAAACATTCTGTGTTAAATATTGTTTTTATCCCTCCCATATTCAACCAGGCCTTCATTTATTTAGAGACAGAGATACTTATAGCTCCCTTCTAGTGGACTATTTCTGTCTCCTCTGCTTTCATCACTCTTATGAAAACTACAAATAAATGTCTAATTGTTATCAGATGTTTTAGAACAATATAAATACTTATCCCCAGAAAATTATCTGAGGAAACATTATTGGCTTTAGCTGTTAGGAGCAAAAGCCAATTTTGTTTTCATTTGGCAGCAGCTTTATTCTGTTACAAGACCAGGCACAGGCATTGCATTGTTTTATATATTTTGTAAGCAGTGATTTAACGACTTGGTGACTTTTTGTTCAATTTTGCTTTTTCCCCCCCAACTTTTTTGGCTACCTTTGATGATCATAAGTAAATGAATATAACCTCCTTGACTTCCTCGAAGTTATATTGATTTGCACAGTTAAGAATAGTATTGTATACAATATAATATGTAATATCTATACATAAAAATATATATTGTATTTACAAATTTACGTTATTACAAGCTTTGAGCTCCATCTTGCCCATTACATCTTGGCTTACGTCAAGAGAAGGAGCTCCTGTTGCATTAGGAGAGAACATCTACTGATTCTTTCTTTTGTGGTCAGCAGCTTGATGGAGCACACAGACCTTGTGCGCTGCGTGTGAAGTATCAAAGAAGGGATATCCTGTCTTACATGAAAAGAAATGTTAACGTTTTGCAGTTCTGTATCTCTGAAGCATCTCTGAAGTAATTTCAGAGAAAGATAATACACTGTACCTTGTAACATCCCTGCAAGGTAGGAAGTTACACTATACCCAAAATACCACTCAGGAAACCAAGTTAATCACCAAGCTGATAGCTGAAGGAGGACTATATTTGATGTCAAAAGGTTAAATTTAATGAAAGCAATCAGAGGCAAAGTCCATTAATTTTTGGGAGGACAAAAGGGATGCACTATGTTTAGATTAACTGTGTTGTTTCTAATTCCTAGTATTTTCCTAGTTTTACAGAAAAGATTATTTTCTCAAATGCTTATAGAGGTAAAGAAAGCTGTAGAACTCACAACGACAGGAATGAGTTTTTTCCTTTTTTTTTTTTAATGTCTTAAGATTTCAAATGGTTAGAACATGTGCTGCTTTGTTGAAACAAAAACAGGCAGCATGAAAGAAACAGAGAGTGTGAAGGACCATTCCAAACACCATTTTTAAGGTGGAGAAGTAGCTTGGTTAAATACCATCTGACTGAAAATTCCATCACTTTGATTTGAATGAGCCAAAGGTTGTCCTTGAAAGAGGAAAGGAATGGCAATTGGTAAGATTTTGACATAAAAAAAGGTTAAGCATTCCAGCTTATAATGGTCATCCTAAATGTTGCAGTCATTGTTTGTCGAACTGAGTTCCACCATGAGAAACCAAAATCATGGGGACAGTTGTAAAGCTTTTTTTTTTTTTTAACTGAAAAAAACAGCTATGCAAAAGAAGAAAATAAAAAGGGAGGTAAAAAAAAGATGGATATTACATATACGTATTCCTCCCTGATATTTTATATACATGTTGAGCATCCCTAACCAGTTATTCTAAACACTAATTTATCGAATTTGGCATTGTTCTGTTCTTTGGGAAAATCTTTATTATTTAAAAACTTTTTGCAAAAATACATTTGCCGTCGTGTGAGAACATCTTCAAATTTTAATCAATTTGAGTGAAAATCTTTCTGCTGAGAATTAATTGAAAAACCACTTACACTGTATGAGACAGAATCTGAGCATCCTTAAGAGGTATTCTCAGCTTAGGTATCAGATTTTGTACGCACAATTGACTTGCACTACAGAAGAGACTTTGCTTGTTCTGAGTACACAGACATCATTTTTGGCAGCCAACCATAAAACCTACATGTGGGAATGAGGAATGAACACATCCAAACGATCTCTTTTAGAAGCAAGCAGTTACCTATGCACATTCAGATGCTTCTTTGGACCTGGGGAAATCTGGTTTTGACTGGGACGGAGTTAGTTTCTCTTTTCAGCAGCCAGAAGAGCTCTGTGTTTTGTTTTTAGTCTGAGATTCACTATGAGAAGAATGTTGATAGCGCTCTGATGTTTATAGTTGGCACTGAGACCTCAAGGACTTTTCAGCTTCCCATGTTTTGCCAGTGTGCAGGAGCACAACAGGCTGGGGGGAGCATGGCCAGGATGAAGGGTCCACAACTCCTGTTATGCTTTGATATAGCTTTAGGATTGAGGGCCAAACTGGCCAATGGAGTATTCTATATCATACAATCTCATGTCCAATATAAAGATGACAGTTAACTGGAATGAAAGGGTTTTTGCTCTTCCAGGGCCCCCACTCTCGGACCCTGGGAGTGCTATCACTGTCTCGTTCTCTTTCAGGGCCTCTTGCTCATCCAGGATTGCAGTGTCGGGACTTACCTGTTTCGGAATTGTTTACAGGGATGAGATAAGCATTTGTCACCAGGTGGTGAGCAATTATACTGTGCATCACTTGTTTATATATGATTATCACTATACATATATTCAAATATTATTACTATTAGGAAATTGTTCTTATCTCAACCCACGAGTCTCTTTGCCTTTTCCCCTTCAAATCTCTTCCCCATCCATCACCTGGGGGTGGGGGAAGGCGAGCGAGGGGCTGCTGGGTGTTTAGTTGCCGGTCGGCCTAAACCACGACTCGTCTATGTACATTTGGAAGAAGGGCCAAATACAACCTCCAAACATCCACGTTCTTTTTGTCAGCTTTATAAATGCACTATTAAACATAATGACAAAGTATTGTCCCCTTGTATGTCTTGTGCAAACAAAAGAGCACATGCAGAGTTATTTCTCTTAGATATCTGGCAAGGCATATGACTGATGGTTAGAAATTTTGACTTGGTTAAAACAAAATTTAGCTCATGTTAAAGCATTAAAGAAATGCTGACGAGGTCAAAGCAAATTCTCTGATAAAGCTGTAAAATCACCCCAGCACACAAACATGTCTGAATCCTACCATTAGGCTCTCATGCAGTCTGTTTCTCTGCAGCGAGCAAGTAGCTGTAACCCTTCAGTGCTGCAACTGAGTTTAGCAGACACACTTGAGAACTGAAGTGACACGCACAGAATGCACTAATTCCTATAGACAAAGGAATTTCAGTTCTACATCGTTTTTTCTGTGTCACCACAGAAAGTATTCTGCGGGTTTGTTAGCCTGTCCACAAAGAAAGATTTCCATCGTTATTTTTTAGATATAATTTGGGCGAGTGGTGTGGTAAAACAGTTCTGTAAATCAAGTGAATATAATGTATATATGTATATTTCACTTCCTTCTGTAGGTTTCACCTATAGTAGGCTTTCTCTGTGTCTCAGAGGTAGAGACTTGGAACTAAGATATGTGTGAAATTTTCTGACCATAGTGTTTAATTATATATGGGGCTATTAAAGCCTGTTTCCAGCTGAAATGTTTTCCTTAAGAAGCCAGAACTGAAAGGGTTATGGTTTGTTACTGCAGCAGTTATCAGCAGACAGCCATCTAACCTTTGGTACTTACAGGTATTTTATGGCTCTTGATCATATTATCAAATTCTTCATTAATTTTTTTGTATTTTTCTTCAGTGCGTGGGGTGAGAGCGTAAGAGGAGTCAGGATCGGGGCTTTCACAACCTTTGTTTTCTTTCTTGTTCAATGCCTGCCAGGTTCAGAGAAATATCAAAACGTAAAAAAAATGAAAGGGAGCTCAGAGTACTTACACATAATCTTTGCCTGCTGATCATTAGATCAATATCTTCATTAATTTTTCTGTACTTGTCCTCAGACTCAGGGCTGTGACCTACTGAATCGTCTGCATCGGGGTCTGGACTGTCACAGCCATTAAGTCCTTTCTTTCTCAACGTCTGAAATACATAATTTGGAAAGTTCAATGCTTGACACAGGCTGCAAGAAAGACTCAGCAGTGTTACAGTAACACAAACTGCCCAGCAGTGGAAGGTTTTACATTATGCTTTAGAGAAAGAAAGTCACTAGAGATCTACCACAGTGATGCTGTAGGTCTCCAGCTACAAGTGGCAAGAGTGGACCACACAGACCTCTTTCCTCTGAAACTGGAATCAGTCAATGAAGAACAAAGCTGGCAAGCTGGCTAAGTGCCTGTGCCAGTACCGCCTGTGCCCCCCCTCCCACCACCTGCCCCCATATCCGATAGCATTAAGAGGTTAAGATACCCACCCAGAGTGCAATTTATTTTTACACATTTATCCATTTGGAATGAACGAAGATTAAAAGTAAGGGATGCATACTGTTTACAGTGGGATACCCTGGTGTTTTTCTTTTCTCTAAAGAAAGATACAGGAGGAAGAAATTAAAAAAAAACCGACCAAACAATAAACAGCAACAAATTTAGGAATTCGTGTTCTCCACAGAAGGAGAGGAGGAGTACCTAAACTGAATTCTTCCTTTGAAATGGATGCAAAGGATGACAACAGCAACGCCCCGCCGTTCGTAAGTGTGTGCTTTGGACAGGACAAGGGGGTGGACAGAGATGCTAACGTGGCTGTGAAATACCGATTAAGAGCTGCTAGACACGGTGTTTACTCTTTATTGACTCCAGTTACAATGCTGCAGATGCACAGTGCTGAAGCTTAATGTACGGGGAAACGCTGCTAAAACAGATGCTTAGAGAAAAGTCAAACCAGATGAATTTCAGGTCCAGCAGCTCAAATCAACCCACAGCCATGATCATCATCACCAAAATAAATAATGAAGATGAAACAGCTTAAAACCAGAATGGAATCAGTAGCTAACAATTCAGAATGATTGCCTGGTCTCAAACAGGTTTTCACTGATCTGCCTTGACAGATCACCAAAGAACAGTCATAGGCTTCATTAAGGTAAAAGAATATGAGAAGCAAGTCTTTGTGGATGCCCCAAGTACAAGCAATAGTTGACAAAGACAGTATCTGTAAGATTTCTCAAATTTATTTTCAAGAGTGTTTCAGTCAAGAACTCTTCAAAGGGTCCATATGGCTGCCTACAAACTTTATTAGACAGCTTGTAGTTAATTGAGTTGAAACCTGGCTAAGCAATGTCAGTTACAACATACAGATCACATAACACTCTTGTGTTAGTAAGTGGCTATGCTTGCTCTGTGTAGTAGTGTGCGATGCTCTAACTGAATTCTTTTTGCCTTCTCAGAATGGCTGCCTCTCATCTGAGCTTTTTGTTCCTTTAGGTAAAATACGTTTCTGAAATATTTTCTGTGCAGCAATGCCCAGTTTACCCCTCTCAAAGCCCTCAAGTATTATGAGGTCATACATTGTTTCTGCACTACTGTATTTATTTATTACAAATTAGACTTTGTTTTCTGCATTTTACCTGAGACTTAAGAATGGAGCTGTCTTATTCCTGCAAAAGCTATAAAGCTGTTCTCCTTGTGGAGTCATATGCCCTGAATCCCACATTTTTATTAAGTCAATAAAGTGATGGTGATCTGCCCTAAGAGATCTGAGCCTTCCAAACTCACTATGGACCTCTGAAACAGATTTAGGCAACTGTGGAAGGCTGGCTCAATGTAGATCTTGCTTTTCACACTGTGTCTATACAGACTTCAGGTCTAATCCCATAAGCTACTACTACTGACACATAGACAAAATTATAAATCCATTGGCATCAACCCTTAAGAAGCTAAATCAGCCTGAATACTTCTCTACACTCCAATCCTTCTTATCTCTTCTACCTTTTAAATGTTAACTAGCAGAATAGACATAGTCATGTATGTTTTCTACTGCTACTAGTTTGAAACAAGCCAAGTATAAAGATGGCTTTTGCAATCAGCCGTTGTTTAATTGATTTAATAGTGAAATTTCTCTTTTACATCTGAATAACTAATCTCAACTAACATTCTTCTTTTCCTATAAGTACAAAACAGTTGTCCTCTGAATAGATAAAATATTCTGTTTTCAAGATCCATTGGGTCAAGCTGTCCAGGTAGGAAACCCAGATCAGCATTTTTGGGACCTTTTCTTGAGCTCATCTGAGTCACTGATAGAGTCCCATTGATTCACACGGAATCTCTGAGGAGTGATGCTCATGTGAGCTGGATTGGACGGCATCTTCAACTCCAAGCTTTGAGATGACAGTCCAGCTCCTTTATTTACAAATGGCAATGAACTCTTTTTTTTTTTCCCAGAGGTCAACACAGCTGCAACTGAATGGGCACAGGCGAGAGAAGGGAGATGCACAATCATCCTACCAGACAACTCAGACAAAGAGCAATATGAAAAGACAAGAGAGGGAATGTTTTGCTGCCTCTGAATCTTTTCCTCTCCCATCGTTCCCAAATCCTTGTCTGCTGCGTTCACAAGACCATGTCTGGGTGAAAGAAGATGCACCTTTTCTTCGGCACACTCAAAATGCCCTAAAAATTTGCAACTATCTACCTAGAACTCATGTGAAGCAGCCACTTCTGTGGTTTGTAGAGGTTCAGGAATGCACTGCCATCTTTCAGATGTTCAGAAGAGGAAAGGCAATGTAATCCAAGGAATATCTTGCAGCAGTCTCCAAAAAGAGACCAGATTCCATCCCAGTATAGTAATGTTTTCATTTTCATAAATATTTATTGTTATTTTCATACCCATAGAAAGCAGGTTGCTGCCACATAAGGTGGAGAAGCAGCAATCTCTATTTTCACCAGAAAAACCTAAGACCAAATTTAGTAAAATCACGTTGGTATTCTACCCAAAATTAACTTTAGCCCTAAAGAGTAGAGGCAAACCTTTCCCTTGCAAATCCCATCAGTCCAGCGTGTTTGGCTGGTACCTTGGCTGACATGGCTAATCAAGCTTCCTAATGCAGTGCAGTTCTTCCCACCCTTGCCCTCCACAAAAAAAAAAAAAAAAAAAAAGGAAAAAAAGAAACAAAAAGAAAAAAAAAGAACATTCTTCAATGAGTTGGGCTAAGTCTAGGAAACAGAAACTTCCACAAGTATGATGCAGTTAGAGGCACAGCTCCTAGCTTTGTGCATGCTGGAACTAATGCCTCACTCCCTATGAATTGCATTTTGGGGTAAAGTGCAATATCCAGAGACGCTTTCCTCTGGGTCAGTCTCTCAGGGCTTATCTTGCCTCCTTCTCATCCTCCTGCTG